TTTGCCCTTGAGCAGGTCTCTCAGCATGTATTTCAAGGACACATTAGTATCCAATAGTACCGAGAGCATTTACTAAATGTTCTGCATGTACTGAATATTTTATTATAAAGGAGAGTTTAATTGCTGATGTTAATAAAGAGGTATTTTGATAAGCGTCTGCGCCGTAAATGATTGAAATTACATTGCTCATTATGTTTTGATCATTAACTAATTTTGTGAAATCAGTAGGATAAGAAAAAGAATAACGTCTTTTTCTGTAAGTAGAACAACTATTGTTTCGTTGAGACAGCTCTGACTTCTAGATTTTGTGTTTCAAACAGCAATATTATTGTGTTACAAGAATCTATAATATTGTGGAGGGCAGCAAAAATGATCAGAGGGCTGGAGTACCTCTCTTATAAAGATGGGCTGAGGTAGTTGGTGTTGTTCAGCCTGATGAAGAGAAGACTCTGGGGGGACCTTATAGTGACCTTCCAGTACCTGGAAGGAGCATATAAGAAGGCTGGGGAAGAGCTGTTCACAAAGGCATGTAACGATAGGACAAGGGGTTATGGTTTCAAGCTAGAGAAGGGTAGATTTAAGTTGGGCATTAGGAAAAAGTTCTTTAATATGAGAGTGGTGGATCACTGGAACAGGTTGGCTAGAGATGTGGTGGAGGTCCCATCCCTCATTCAAGGTCAGGCTAGGTGGGACTCTGAGCAATCTGCTCTAGTGTGAGATGTCTCTGCTTATTGTAGGGTGGTTGGACTGGATGACCTTTGGAGGAGCCTTCCAACCCAAGACGTTCTTGATTCTATCATTCTATCATTCTCTGATTAGTTGAACACTGCTTCCTAGAATGAAGTTATTGCAGAAGTATTTGTTTAATTCCCATATATTGTGGTGTCATATACTATAGCTGGTAAGAATGCTGAATATAAAACACGTATGCATGATGTAAATTGAAGATTTTCGTATACATATGTGTATATATATCTTTCTGGTCCTACTTGCTGGCAACATTTCTAACAGGAAGTTTGTTATCATGTCAAAAAAGAAAAATGAAGTATAGACACTTGCAGTTTCAAGGTATGCTTCTGAAGAAACCCAGGTCAAAAGTAGTGCTCCTCAATTGAGAATTATTCTCAACTTCTGTAGTCAGGCCCTACCTGGTATTCATGAAAAATTAAATGGGTATCCAGACATTAATACCAAAGCAGTAGTGCTGGGCTCTGATCCAAATGTCATTTAAGTTAGTAGGAGACTTTCAATCAAATTCATTAGTCTAAGGATCAGACCCTTAGAGTACCACCTTGTTCAACATGTCTTTGCTTTACTGTCGATCACGTGGATATTGTTTATGTTCAAGCCCCCCCAGCAGAAGTGGGGTTGGAGCCAACAGTACCCAGAAGGCAGCCACAAGTTAGAAAGAGAATCATAACCCATGTGTAGGCTTCAACAACTGTCTGGTTACCCAGGTATACAGGTGAGGGTTTAAAGTGCAACTTTTCAAAGTGGAAGTAAAATTATATCCCAAAGGATATTCGTTATCATCAGATTTGAAGTAGTGTTTATTTTTGTTTCCTTCCTTTCCCTATTTCTCTTCTACTTTCATTCTCTTTCTTTTGGGATTTCAAAACGTTCTCCCCTTGTTATGTTTCAGTAAAACAATAGATTCTCATGGGGGGAAAAAAAGGGCAGTCACTTTTCTTCTAGCAATCCACTGCCTTGGCCTACCTAATTTGTCTTCACATTTTGATTACTTCTGTTTTTTTAAATGTAGACAACAGTATTAGATGATTATGCTACATGGAGGGGCAGATCCATGAGATGCATGTATGTGCACAATACCACTGCCTACCATTAACTAAATACAATATTCTGTCACCCTCTAGTGGTGGGTCTACACCACCATGCCACTGATTAGAGAGAGTAAGGATTTTCTCATCACATGTCTAGTAGAAGACCTTGTTGTATGTGGGAGATACTAAACTTCAATGTTTGTCGGCCTGTGTGTACTGATTTGTAATTTTGGTCTCCACTTCATTGATCTGTAAATGAATTGTATCCATCATGCCAAAAATTATAGATATAAATTGTTTGGTTTTGTTTGGAGCAGATTAATTGACTAATGAGGTTGTTGGGGTTTTTTACTATTTCTGTACTCTTCTTCTTGGACAAGGAAAAAGCAAATCCACTGAATTCCAACCTGAAAAGTTAGGGAACATGGCTGTGCACTTGAAGCCCAAGTTGGCTAATCAAATCCTTTCTTTCTTAATTCCTAGTTTTAACCATAATAAAATTCCTTGCCTAAGACTGTCTAATGCTGTACTGGAAAAGTGCAATGGCCACTGGAATTTGAGAAAGCACTAATTGTGCCTGTAATAATAACATGGCCTCTGCAGCATATACACCGTTTGGTATATTTGACAGTAAAGTGACATAACAAAGCCAAAATATTTTCTGTCACCTATTCCATTATCTTCAGCAATACTTCCAAAATCTGTTTCTGACCTAGCCTTAGAAAAAGCTAAAAGTGCAGCATAGTAGAGAATGGCATTTAATGGCTTCATTTGTCAAGATTCCTAGTAATTGATAATATTGATGTGTTTTACACTGATATTGGACAATTCAGCTTCAGATCACATATGATTTAAAGCATCCTAAGTAACATCAAAATACTTGGTTTGAAACTGAAGTGTAGAGCTTTTCACTGGATCAAGAGGCAAGTGCTATTCATCTCTGGACAGAAACTAGAGAATTCCTCCTAAAATAATTTGGTATTTCAAGTATTAAATAATACTAAGTATCTGATTTGTCTGTAATTTTATTGGTATGGGCCATACATTCACCACTTACGAGTGAAATCAGTATTGCCCATTAATTAAGTTGGTTCACTATATCTTTGTTAAGGAGGTGTATGGCAGCATCTTTGTAGTCACAAATTAAATACAAGTGTGTATCAGTATGCCACTAATAGTGCCAAAAAGGCTTTTTGATACCTCCTCACCAGGAGGAATTGTTTAACCAGTCTGCCCTCACACACCTTTAGGAGTAACGATCCCTACTCAGACCAGATAGCACCTGCCAGCTACATTGTGAAAAGGCATGGTGCTTTCATGAGGGGATGATGGACTCAGTAAATCTTCCAAGTTTCTCAAAAAAGACCACAGTATACACCTCCTGGAATGGATAAAGAGCCTGGGACCCTCCAGAGGAGGGTCCTGACCAGGCTGCTAATTAGCAAACCACCTTCTGAATCTCTGAAATTTCAGCAAACCTGCCAGTCCCTGCACCCACACTCATACAAGTATCCTACAAATACAACTGGGAAGAAATGGGGAAAATATTTATCATGGCACCATGAACACTAGTTCAGTGTTTTAAAAATAATACTCCACAAAAATGGCAGATTCTGCACCTGCTTTCAAGTTTTATCATCTACTATCTGGGGGGGTTTTATATCCGTATGTGTATCCTGCAAACACGCATATTACACACCCACAGACTTGCATTCATTTTATCATATTAATTTAATTTTCTTTATTTTACTGGAGAAAACAAGAGTTTGTTGGGGTTTTTTGCTAATGGAACTGCAATGATACTTAGGGAAAATGAAGTTGTCTTTCTCATCTTTAGCAGTGTGTATAATGAAGCCGTTTCAGTAACGCACGTGTCAGCGGATTGTTGGTGCTGGTACATCCTTCAGAAAGAATACAAATAGACTTCACTGACCCCGGAGTGCTGAGAGTAACATGAAACTTACTCTGACTTGTAAACTGAGCCAACATGACATGGAGGTCACAGTATAAGGGCATCTATGCATCTTTCAGCCCTTGTTTTGACAAAGTGACTTCTTTCTCCAGAGGGACATTTCTGCCATTTTTTTCCAGCATGTTTCACCTTTCACTAGCTATTAATCATAGTATGACTTAACTGAAAATTATGGTTCCCACCTATAAGCTCATAGGAGTTAATTTCTTAATTCTTTTTTCATTATTTATTTGAGCACAGAGCTAGCACTCAGAAGATCTAAGAAAACTGGGGTATGGAAAACAACATAAATTAAGTTCAAAACAAATTATAAATGCTAGAACAAAGAGCATTATTAAAGTTCACATTCATTAATGGAAAGTTTTGATTACTAGCAGCTGTAAGAAATCAAGGTAGACCATAACATTTTTTAAAATCTGTGCATTTTCTAATATTCTACAGAGTATTTTTCCAGCTTTAGTTAGATAGCTTCCCTATGTCTGAAGGAGTCTAACATTTATATAGCCATCAGTTTTAAACAGAATTTTCAGAACTTTATGAACCAGATTGACAAAAGAAGTTATTCTAAAAATTAAATTATTCAGAATATTCTTATTTTTCCAAATGCATGGCTTGTGAAACTTTTTTGATACAAACATGGATGGCATCCCAGCACAGAATACTTCAAAATAGGAGTATCAGCATAGTCTTAAATGCATTAGAACAACTGTGGATGGGGTTTAGCCTCTTCATCATGTCAGCTAACTGTTGAAGCACTATTAGCAGTTATCAATATGTATGGTAAAGGACACTGAAATTCTTATCTGTGGTTTGCAGATGGGAAGATGAGACAGAGCAAAGATCATTGCAGACTTTCTGGAACCCACCCTCCAGACTATCTTTTCAACCAGCCCATCAAATTTCAGGACAGCAGTAGGCACTGCTTATGTGAATAAGTGTGACAAGCTTCGTTGTCCTTGCTGTGTAGATTATTAAGTCAGTGATGCCAGTTTCAAGTTTGGGAATACAAAATGTCAGGCTAGACCAGGAAACACAGGAGCTAACTTTGTTTTTAACAATGCTGAAGAGAAAAGTGTAAGGTAAAAGGGATTAATTATTTTTCTAGTGTGATAACCAGACTCCATTTCAAGGACAATTTGATGGTCCAGATATGTGTTTTCCCCTGGTGTGACACAAACAGATTTCAGGAGCTAGAACAGAAGCATTTTGTAGCTTCTAATCGTTGCCCCTCTTGTTTTTCTCAACAGAGCTACAGTGAACCTGTTGATGTCAAAGCCTCCCCGCAGCCTCAGATGATGAATTCCAAGCAGCCGGTGTTTCATGGGCCTAACCAGGCTCACTCTGCACTGTACCTCAGTTCCCACTACCACCAACAACCAGGAATGAATCCCCACATCACTGCCATGCATGCCAATATCCCCAGGAACATAGCGCCCAAGCCCAACAACCAAATGCCAGTGACTGTTTCCATAGCAAACATGGCTGTGTCCCCACCACCACCTCTTCAGATCAGCCCCCCTCTGCACCAGCATCTCAACATCCAGCAACACCAGCCCATTTCAATGCAGCAGTCCATTGGAAACCAGCTACCAATGCAGGTCCAGTCTGCTTTACATTCACCTACGATGCAGCAAGTAAGTTTGAGCTTTTCAGTTGCCTGGAGAAGTGTTTTTTTCGAGGGGAAGTAAAAAAGTCATCCAGAAGTTGGCACAGTGAGGGAGATTAAATGCTACAGATTAACTTCAGTTTTGCAGAGTTCCAAAACCACAGTAGTATAGTCTGAGGGTTTAGTCTTTCAAAGACAAGAACAAATGAATGAATTTACCTAGATAACGGGCAATATCTGAACTGTTTGTGCTAGCAAAGATGTTAATCAAATTCTTCTGGGCATTAGCCTTGTCTCCTCCCAAATCGAGGAGGCATCCTTTAAATAGAAGTGTGTCCATAGACCCATCTGCAAATCTGGGAGTACCCTGAAATATAAGTGAAACATAAAGTCTTTGAGACACACATTTTACAAACAGAAGGCAGGCAGGGCTGGAAAAAAGATATTACTGTAGCTTGTGCTGTTATCCTTGTCCTGACTGTGACATGCAACTGTCAGAAGAATCATGAAGCTACACAGGTTGTGTTAAAGATGCTAAATTAAGTGAACACAAGTATTTTAGTTAGTTTAGGCTGCGCTCATACCTTCATTTTACTAGATACCTATATATATCTATGCCTTTTTTATACTGAAAGTAAGTGGCCTGCAGCCAGTGTCCCATTATGATAGCTATTTTATTTTTTTCCCATTCTCAGTGTTTTAGGTAATTGGTTCTCAATATATTTCCCAGGAGTTCCGAATGAATGCAAGCCAACCATAGTATTGTGACTTCTGGGTCCAGTCCTGTGGAGGGTTAGTTACAGCAGATTAACCCAGCTGAAGTAATAAAAAAATAAAAATTAAAATTAAAAAAAAAAAAAAGAAAGATGACTATTAATATTAAGACTTTGCCTTGCAAAGAGGCATGAGAATTATTTAATTTCTTTTATTAAATTGCAAGAACCTCCAAAATTTGAAAACAAAAGTTGTTAGTTGTGGTTGATAATACATAGTCATAAACTTGCTGCATGTTTTGAATATCTCTATAAATTCACCTTTGTTAACAAGGCATTTGCTTTCCAAGCCAGAAACATTTCATCTCAAGATTGTTTTTTAGAGATGGGTGTACCTGAACACAAAACATAGCTTCTAGCTTGGAGAACAATTTTCCAAAGAAATTTGGAAATGTGAAGAAATTTTCCAAAGCCAGGAAAAAAAAAAAAAAAAAAAGGTTTGTTGAATTGATAGTAGGGGCTAGCAAAAGATACAATGAAGGTGTTAGATACTTAAATATGTATACATGCAGCATCATAATTATTGTATGAACCCAAACTTTTAGGTGTTATTCCAATCCTTTGCATACTGCAAATATATATATAAAAATATATATATATATATAAATATTCTGATGTTTTCTTTTGCTAAACTGCATGCTTTAAGCATATGGTGTGTGCATCCATGGCTTGAGAGTACCTTCACTCATCTGTGAGATGTGTGGTATGCAGCTGAGTTTTTTCTACCTTAAGAGAAAAAACAGGACACTAGATTGTACAGTGATGAGTCTTGCTTTACTAAGTTCAAGTACAGTAAAGTAAAGAATGCTGTACCTCATCAAAAGTTAGGTTAAATAGTTTTTACCAACTCATATTCCTTAGTCAGAAAGGCTGATTCTTATAATGTAGATGCCATGGTGAGATATTTCTGAGCTTCACTCAAAGGTGACAGGTGCTTATTGCCTGTTGAAATCCTACACTTCCAATCTTAACTACATTTATCTTTAAGCAAGTGGAACATCTACAAGCCAGTTTATATTTCTTACATTTCTGCTTTTGTTTAAAATACTTTTGAGCTCTGGAAAATCTGTTATTTCACTTTGGAATAGTTGTGGGGTTTTTTATTTTAATAATTTATTTATTTTTTTGCCTACAAGAGTTTACAGAGTTTGTGCATTGAGCTTCAGTATAGGATCCATTCCTTTAAAGAGTCAAGTTGGTAAAGACAAAGCAAGAATTGTGCTAAATTTTAGGGCAGCAGGTGTGCTAATAACACCATGATTTGCCATGCCAGAGAAGAACAGTGGTATCCTCTCTACCTTCTTAGATATTACTCTTTCTGGTCATATTCAAGAAATGTTAGAAAAAACTGTCCCCAGGATTTCATTCTGCATTAGAGCATGGAGGACTGACTGGCCACAGGAGGCAAGTAGCAAGAAGCTAAAAACTATAACCTGAAAGTAAAGGCCTCTTTTTGACTCTTTTCAAAGGATTCTGCTCTCACCTCTTTTTGAAACTGAGCAATCAATCTGATGATCACAGAGCATGTTAAAGAGGAAAAGACAGAGAGTGGGAAAAAAGTGAGCCCTCCAAACAATGACCAACAGCGTAGAGTCAGCATCAATGAGGAGGGTCAGGGTAAGGGTGAGGAGGGAGGGAAGACTCTGCATGTGAATTTCAGTCCCCAGCAGCACGATGTAGACCACTCTTCTACATAAAACGACAGCCAAGAAGAATGGGACATTATGTAGTCTGATAAAGCATAAGAGATAGTTGAATACAATTAAATTTTATTTCATTTCCTCTTCCTCATCTGTTTGATCTCCTCTGCGCTATGAGTGTGGCCACCCCTAAGCCTTTTCCAAATACTCTAGTGGGCACCTAATGTATGTAAGCAGCAAGAACAAAAGCTAATTAACATCCCATTCCCTACAGTGTGACTTGCAACAAGAAATATTTTCTATTTGGAAACCTCACCACTGCTCATACCAAATAGACAGATACACTTTAAGAAGATATGAGGTAAATTTTCTCATGTCATATTGCAGCGTGAGGCATAATAGGCAAGAGAAGGGTAAGTCTGCCAACAGCTTCCTCTAGCCATCGTTTACTGGAGGCATTTTCAGGCTCACCTGGCTGGACACCACCACTGCAGACAGACAGCTGTGCTATAGACATGTTAGAAGCAGCAGTCAGTCCCATCTCCCACTCATGGTGGGCTCTGCTTTTTTTTGCTTTTTTTTTCCCAATATCCAGCTTTGAAATAGTTTGTGCCTCAGTAGCATGATGCTCAATGGTGGCAGGCTCTGGGCAAACTGGCTCTTTACAGATCCTTTGCTTTAACACTGAGGCTCTGGGAGACTTGGCCACTCATTTTTTCCAAGAGAGGGAGAATAGTTTCTTATCAAAGACCATCTTGTGGTATGTCTAAAGGACTGCCAGCTCCAAGAAAAATCACATAGAGATCCAGACTTCAGTCCTGGCAAGCAGGAACACAGTTCTCCAAAATCAATATCCATGAAATCCACAAACTCTTCTGTACATAACTTTGAGGAGGGACTGGTAAGAGGGACTGATCAGAAGTACTGACCTGGGGAGAGAGTTCTGCCTCTGCGTTTGCCAGAACAAAGAGCTGATCTTCATCAGCTCTACAGGGAACAGCATGTCCTCCTCCACTTCCATCAGCCCTGGTCTGCATGTGTGCAGCTGCCAAACCCAGAGAGACTGCCAGCTGGAGAGGGGCAGTCTCCTCCAGGAATCCACAAAAACTACAGAACATCAAGGAGATCAGAACTGTTGGTAGCCAAAAATCCTCAGTGACTGCACAATTCTGTTATTTTTAAAATCAATTAATTCCTTGGAGTATGCAGCTGATACAATGCACCCAAATTGTTCTGAAATGCACAAGGCAAAGCAAAATGTAGGTATTAGCATTTTGGTCATATGCCTAGCTTAAGCAATTTTTAAAAGAAAATTCTTTTAAACAACCTTTGCTAGTTTGAGCAATTTACATATTTTTTTTTGTAACTTCTGCAGAAATAGAGACTATTTTGTCTCCATTTCTTTCTGTTCCAAAACAGTTAATTAATAAATTTAATAATGGGCACTACTGTAAACCTTTGGAGTGCTCATTCAGTGTTAATCCTTCACACTGTAAAAAATGACCATGTAGTTCTATTCTCAGATTTAAACTAATTCCTGTTTTTGATGATACTTAGCTTCTAATTCTGAAATATGCTATTTTTTTTCTTAAATATTGTTAATTGGAATTGTGTTAAAGTTTTACTTTGTTAAAGTCTAAATCCACTGTGTAGCAGTTTTTCTTTCATCCACTTTTGAAACAGTAAAAGAATCCCAGTAGATTAGAAGACTGCAATTTTTCTTTTATTAAATGATAGTGTGAGCATGCATCTTATCAGTGTATTATCTTTTAACTGATATAGAGTTGCTTCACTCCAGTCTGTTTCTTAGGTTTGACATGATGTTTAATTTTTACTTAGTTGAGATCAGGTGGTCTGAATCTTAACCCTTGTCGTTCAAATCAGCATAATTTCTTCAAAATTCAGCCTTAAACAGTCATTCTCTCCTTTCTCTACTCAAACAGACACTTGTCCTTCTTTCTGAGGTTGACTCCCTGTCCAGCCTGTTGTTACATGCTGTTTTGTGTGGAGAGCGATCAGACCAACAATTCACTCCATCCCAAATAAGTCCAATTCTTGTGCTAAGGAACCCTTTTAAGTAGCCCTACTGGAAGCATCTCCATCCTGTCTTAAAAGCCTTCACCCAACTGTTGGGTGGGATGCTGAGGCCCATTAAAATCTCTGTCCCACTTCAGTTCGCAGGTAGAGCAAGCAAAACCAGATTTTTAATGTCTAGCAACTATGGCTGCAAGTGGATGCATAACAAAGAAGCAGAAGATTAATGTATGTCACATTTTATTTTTTATTTTTATAAATAATAACTCATTTCAGGCTACTTTTAGCTATTTTCATTCCTTTAGAAAATAAATGTATACAGCAAGATGATTGTATAGCCTCCCAAAAATAATAGCCTCATTTTTTTCTGGTATATATTATATACAGTAAACTCATGGACCTGCTCTATGTGTCCAGATTTCTTCCTCTTTTTTTTGTTAAGCTTTGTCTTCGAATGAGGTCAAGAGAAAGAAAAATCATTAATATCTGTCAACTTCCTTTATAACCTTAAGGAAAAATCTTTGTATGATATCACACAGACAGATTTTCAATTTCCTTGTGTAATAAACAGATGCTTTAGGATTTGGATGTAATTTAAAGGTTTAAAATATCACATTGAGATTGATGAATAAATCAGTTGTGAAGACAAAAACATTGATGCCTACTGAAAATACCTCTCCAGACAGGCAGGAAATGAAATTAGTTCCCAGTAAAGTGTGGAGATGAAGATCACTGTTTAGTTCTGCTGCAGGCTTTTTAGGACTTGCTACAGTGGCACAACGAAACTGCTAGGGCTACAGAAATCTAATTAAAGAGCAAATGTCCCTCCTGACATCAAATTAATCTTTATCAAGTTCCCTATTTTTATTTCAATCTGGAACAAGAAAATGAAATTTAAAATTCTGGCCATGTTGTAAAACAGTTGGTGATTTTCTCTTGAGCATTACAATGCAAAAACACTCAGCATTGTTTAATTAGACCTCGAAGCACTCATTTTCTGAGCACTTTTTATTTCATCGTTGTTTGTTAAGGGTTTACATAAATAATACACAAATATTTACTACAAGCCTGCTACAAGGCTGTCTTCCTCCCTCTGTTGTACAGATCTGTATTTCCAGAGATTTTTCCTGTTGATAAAAATGCTGAAGTAATTATTGTTTTCATTTAAACATCACCATATTTTATCAGTCCTTTCTTAAATTACTTTGCCTTACCAAGCATGCTTTCCAACCCTCATGTTTCTGGTCTCCCAGTAGCCCTCAACCCCAGTGGGAGCACTGAGCTGCAGCAGCTCAGCTGCTTCTGGAGCTGGAGCCTGGCTCAGATCCCTCTGCCTCACGTTAATATGTATCACTTGAACATGTCCTAAGAAACTGGACCCCATCCTGGGCAGTTATAAACTAAACAGACTTGACAGGTGCAAGATGAAAGTGCTGCAACCCTTTATTTTGCAGATAGACCTAAGTTTAAATCCGTGGTCCCAACCTTAACATGAGACCCATCAATTCAGTTCTTCACGCGTGCTTCACAGGAAGTGAGACACAGAAATTTGGCTGTGGTCACACAGAAAACCTGAGAGAACACAAGAATAAGTCCCCACCTGGTTCCAAACTGGCATTTAAATCACAGGACCATCCTCACATATCTAAGCTGTTTATTCATCCTAAATCCAGAAGAAATGGAACTAATATTGCACTGATGGACTCTTCCTCAAATCTGGGGAACTGTCTCTTCTTGCTACATGAGTACTTGAGTCTCTCTGTCTGCTCACTTGCATGCTTCTCTACAGCACCACTGGAGCTACTCACCCCATATAGTGTTTTTCTTGTACATATGAATGTTTCATGAAGAACAAGAAGAGATAGCTCAGGGGCTTTGCTACTGAAGGCAAACCTAAGTGCCTGAGGGTAGGATGTGTTTCTGGGGCTAGTTTCCTCTTACAGCTAAATTGGAAAGGCCTTATGGGTGACATTTTGTATAAAAATTATGGCAGCGATATACAAAACCAATTATTCTGCCTTCTAATTGCACGAAACTCCAATTAAAGTCATTGGGAAGTCTGCTCAATTGAAGTTTCCTTTGCATTCGTTGCAGGCAGGGAGGTTGTTAATGCAGCCTGATGTGCAGGTTTAGAGCCTGGTGAAAAGGCTGAGTGCAGAGCATAGGAGTTACAGTCACCACGGGTGGGTTTTATATTTTATCTTATTAGCAGGGCAGCATATGTTACATGACAACTAGATGCTGAATTCAGCTCGTGAACTTGCCCACTACTAATGGTCTCTTTCTTGGAGTTATCAGGGGCAAAGTGAGGCTTCAGAGAGCATTTAAGGTACTGAGGTGTGACCTGGGATATTAGCCGTATGGAAGAGATTATGGAAGAAAGTTGCACTCATTTACAGCCTAAAAAAGAATTTGGTCAGGATGAGTAGAGAGTGGTGACTATGCACATGAGAGTCACAGCAGTGAAGAACACCTGTAGGGGAAGAGATGGAGGATGCACTGAGAAAGAGGGATGAGAAGGATGTGGCATGTTATATTTGAAGGAAGTTCATTTCTAGGGATGGAGGGGGCAAGGTGGAAATGGAGAATGCTCATTTATCTTGATTAAAAGTAGCACGGTGGAGTTGTTAAACCTGCAGGGGCAAAAAAACAGCTCTTTCCCAAAATTCCTGTCTAAATGAAAGCTGTGCATGTGAAGTGATCACACGTAATCCACTAGAATTTAAAACCAAGAGTTATGAGCTTTAATTCTATCTATTCAGGAAGTAGACTTTCTAGAAAGATTGGATTTTCAAACTAGGTATCTTGGTTCAGTTCAGTTTCTGGGGTAGTAGCTGCACATCCAGTTAACTTGAGTGGGAATTGTATGTCCTTGTGCCAGGATGGAGTTTGGTCTGTTTTTTTCAGCAGACATCGATTGCTTTTGTACAGCATTCCCATACTTTTACTCAATACAGTTCTTCCAACTTTATGGGAACATGATGTACATTTATACAGTGTGAACCAGATACAGTATCCTTGAAATTTCAATTGTTCTCCTGGTTTTGAAACAGAGCATTTAAACATCCCCCCATCTCGAAAGAACTAAAAATTATTATGACTTTTCATATGACAGATATTTCAGGGAGCAGGTCAGATGTTTCTTTGTAACTTCCATTTCTTTTTTTCTTGTCTTCTTGGTTTCAAAAAGCAAGTTATTCTGTGCTACTTTCACTACATTAGTCCAACAACTGTTAAAAAGCTTTGATTGAATTTCTGTTTAGTTGAGAGAGAAGTACAAATAAAAGAAGCAGCAGATGGTCCCTTTGTGGCTGAATGAAGAAAAAGGGTTTTGAGAACAATATCTGAATAGGTGTAGTCTAATAAAACAGTCAGCCACCTGCTGCCTACATCCTTCAAAAAGATTCTGTTGCATATTCTGGGAACTAACGACTGTGTGTGTCCTTACATTTAATCTAAATGGAAGCTCTAAGGAGCAAACAGATCTTTTTGCCCTAATGCTGATTGAGTTGTTCTCTTGGTTTTGAATTGTTTCTGCTCTGTCCTTTATAGTTCCATCATGTTACTGTGTAATAGCTAACAACTATTTGGCAGTATTTCATTTCTCAAACCAACGATTTTAAGACTTAGAAAGCACCTGCACATTTTTTCCTGCTTTAAGCTTGATATCCTAAAGTACACCTGGAAAAGAAGTATTCTTCCATTCCACAGTACACACATTGTTATTTTACTGCACCAAACCTCTTGCTTGTTTTTTTGTATGTAGTAATGTACTTGCTCTCTCCTCTAGGGGTTTACTCTTCAGCCTGATTATCAGAATATTATCAATCCAACATCAACAGCTGCACAAGTTGTTACCCAAGCAATGGAGTATGTTCGTTCAGGGTGCAGAAATCCTCCGGCACAGACTGTGGACTGGAGTAATGACTACTGCAGTAATGGGTAAGCAGCCAGTGAATGCCACCTTGTGTTGAGCAACATTCATGACACAAGCATCTGATCGAGAATTTGAAAATGGTTTTGCTGCCTGATCCTTTACACTATTTCAGAAGTGCATCTTATAGTACCATATTTATTCTTCAGTTAAGACTGTTGTGGAGAAGCAAGTTTTCAATACATACATTTATTAGATATCACTGTCACCTTATTACAGCACACACACATAGTCTTAGAGAACTTTCACTCCTTTCTGCTCTGAGCTGGTATTAGCTTCAGTTGAAACTGAAACCCAGCAAGAACTGAATGTAAAAGTGTGCTCGGTGGTGGAAGGTCTCTGGTAGAGCCTGGTCTCCAGTACAGAGTTCACAGAGTCACAGAATTGTTCTGGTTGGAAAAGACCTTTAAGATCATCGAGTCCAACCATAACCTAACTACCAACTATAAACCTGACTCTACCAAGACAGATGTTTAAACCATGCTCCTAAGCACCACTTCTATACATCTCTTAAACACCTCCAGGAATGGAGACTCAGCCACCACCCTGGGCAGCCTATTCCAGTGCTTACCTCAGTGAAGAAATTTTTTCTAGTATCTAATTTAAATCTCGCCTGGCACAACTTGAAGCCATTTCCTCTTGTACTGTCACTTGTTACTCGGAAGAGACCAACTGCCCTCTTGCTAAAACCTCCTTCCAGGCAGTTGTAGAGGGCAATAGGGTCTCCTGTCAGCCTCCCTTTCTCCAGGCTAAACAACCCCAGTTCCTTCAGATGTTCCTCACAGGACAGGAGAGAGGGACAGTCAGTGCTACGAATACACTGGAGCGGGTAGTCCCAAATGAGGGCTTAAACTCACGTCCCAGGCCTGTGTAGTTTAGAGCCAGGTGTGATCTCCAGGTTTCTACGTGCCACTATGGCCCTAGGATTTTTTGCTACTATTAGCACAGTAATGCAGCTGTACTTCAGTGATATGCTTGGAGTTAATCACTTGCAGTAGGATTGTGAGGGGTTTTTTTGGAAGAACAGGACTGAAAAGTTGAGAAAATTTTCAAAAATCATATTTATTCTTTTTCTCTTTGAACAGAGGCATGCAGAGGGACAAAGCACTCTACCTTACCTGAACATCTGAAACATCTCTCCTTTCCACTGAGGAACACAGGGAAGTCTTTTCATCATGGATTGCTTTATGCAGTCAAGGCAGTTCAGCGTTTTATTAGGAAATACAAGTTGCTAAGCACTTAGGGCTATTTGAGCTCGTGGGTCACCCACTCTGGAAAAAATAGTCTTGCTTCTTTCTTTTTCTTTTTTCTTTCCCCCCATTTTTTTGCATTCTTTCTCCTTTCCACTCCCACCCTGAGATCCTTTAACGGACATTGCTTTTCTTCTTACCGGAAGGAAACTTGGACCATTCAGATTTTATGTTGGTTTTTGCTGTGAAGTGCTGCGATAGTAACTGCCTTAGCAACTGTAGATGTCTCGGATAAAAGTCCTGGATTTTCCATTGGTTTTTCATAATGGGTGTTTATATGAAACTACTAAAGACTTTTTAAATGGCTTGATGTAGCAGTCATAGCAAGTTTGTAAATAGGATCTATGTTACACTCTCCTAGAGTATAAAATGTGAATGTTTTTGTAGCTAATTGTAATTGAAACTGGCTCATTCCAGTTTATTGATTTCACAATAAGGATTAAATTGGCAAACATTCATATTTTTACTTCATTTTTAAGCAACTGACTAATAGTTCTATATTTTCAAAGGATTTGGAGAAAAATATTCCCAAATAATATTGATTTAAAATATTGGCTTTTTCTCATGAAATAAACACCAAAAAGAAAAAAAAAAAAACAAACCCTAGGAAAATAACTAATGTTGATAAAGAGCAAACACATTTATTTTGTACTGCCTAAAAATGCTTCTTTTTTTAAAAAAGAAAATCACTTTATGTGTACTGGTTAGTAAACATCATTTAAGTCCTTTCATGTATAAAACTGCCAAATGCTTACCTGATATTTTATTAGATGCAGAAACAGATTGGACACATCTAAATTATAACCTTTACATATGGCTATGTATTATTGTTTCTTCATACTGTGTCTGTATTTAATCTTTTTTATGGAACCTGTTGCGCCTATTTATGAAATAATAAATATAGGTGTTTGTAAGTAAATTTGTTAGCATTTTAAAGAGGTTTCTTTGACGCTTTAACTTTTGCTGGCAGAAACTGTTCACAACTGATGTGAATACTTTATTTAGTTTTTACAGTGACATATGTAACACCAAACCTGCTTTACTGGCAGAAAATGAAGGTAACCATTACTTATTTCTCTATTTCTTTGGTTGTTAAGGGAAAAAAATAAAATAAAATAAAATATGGTATTTTAAGTAATCCCCTTTTTAAAGCATTGTAGCAGGAAATTGCCCAAAACTAAGACTTGAGCCACCCAAACTAACTGATAAAACTGCATAATGCTGCTTCTTTAAACTTCATCAGTTTTGGTTAACTAGTCAAGTGGAATAAAAAATATAAGCCACAAAAATATTACCAAATATGCTTCAGCTATTTTATTACACATGCAAAAAGGTCCTACAGAATTTTGAGGACTTTATCCCAAAAACATCCTAAAGTGAAAGGTAAGTTCGACAGCCACAGGGAGAAGGATAAAAAAAAATCCAAAAGGTATTTTGTCAATGTTTTGGATCAGGGATAGCTCTGCAAATAATTTCTGGAGGATTTTATCCTGGCTGCCTGTCCAATTAATGGAGAGTACCACTGATTTTTAGTTCCTCTGTGAAATAAAGACAGCAACTCTGATAAAATATATATTATGCAATTCCATTGATTTTTCTTTAAAAACAGAAGAGAAACAAAGGTATGCTTGCTTTGGAATTATTTCAGGCAATGTACAATCGGAATCACTTGGCATGTAATAACTAATAAATAATGCAGATCAGATGTGATTACTCAAATGACTGTAACTGAGAGCTCTAATTTTCCTGTCTTGAAACTGTATGAGAACTTGTGATTAAATTCACAGTTTATTGTTTGTCTGTTTAGTACTTTAGAAATATACCAGCACTACTAATTACCCAATGTCTTCTATTTATTATATTACAGTAAACTACATTTTCCACTCATATTAATTCTAAAGTGAGAAGATAATTACTGGGAATGAGAAAAATCAGCTTTGATTTTGATGGGCAGTTTTCCTTTTTCTTTTATGGAAAAGAACTGTTATCTCCATTTCTTTTAGAGCAGGTGTGCAGTCACATGAAGTTGTTAATTTCAGTATCCAAGCAGAGTTCAAAATACAAGAAAACTTTAATGTAAATAAAAAATACATCATGAATAAAATACTTATTCTGTATGAACCTCTGGCTAATTGGTGTCTCTCTGTCTTTGAGAAGGGAAACCTGTGGTGTGTTTATATGCAGCATCACCTTACCCGTCTGGTGGCCTCAGTGAGGTTCTGTGCCTGGGCTCTGTTCAGAGGGGAGAGCTATGTTGGAAGAGCAGCAGGTTTGGCCAGAGTTATACTGAAGCCACTTTGTTCCAAAGGAAAAATCCAACTTTGATGCATAAATGTCATTTCTTTGTGTCTGACCTTGGGAAAGAGCAATGGTTGCCACCAAGGGCAATCTGCTATTTGATTTCAGCTGCATATTGACGGATAGAAATTATCAATAGGAGATTGAGATCCTTTTGTAAGCAGGACAAACTCCACTGGAGTTCATGAAGATATGCCCCATCCTTCACTGAAGCATGGTGACTTATGGACCACAGTAACACATATACCCAAGTCACTGGTTTTAAGTCACCATCTGTCATAGTGACAACAATGGGAAGGCACATGGGAACTAAACAACCTGCACATTGAAATAACACAACAACAGCAAGTAAATATGATAAAGACATCTGTGAGAGTGATAGAAACTGAGGGAAATAATGCTTTGCATTAATTGAAATTAGGGGGGGGTTAATGTTTTCTTAAAAATGGTAGGTAAAATGCAAGATTAGCAACACAGGCAGTTGGGAAGATGTAAAACCCCTTTGCTTGCACCAAGGTAAACTGAGGGTTTGAAAAGAAAGGCTCTTCAAATGTGCTGCTGCTCTCAAGTACCCTGTTCCAGCAATGTTAGCTCCAGTTTCTCCATCACTAAACTCACAGAGGTTCAAGTGTAAATCCCGTTAAGCTGCTGCCTCTGGCCCAAAAAGGCTTGCCGAAGAAGGGACATGCTACAGGAGTTTTTCCCCCCACATTCATCCACAGGCAGTAAGTGAGTAATGTATTCATGGAGGGCCCCAGACATTCACAATGAAACTTAATGTATTCATGCCCACTTCTCTCTCTCTCACCAAATACCAGCTCCTGATACCAGTGGTGTCTCTGCCAAATATTCCCTGTGAGGCTCCTTTGTAAGCAGGAAAACCAACAATAAAAGAGCTCATTACTGGAAAGCAAAAGACACTCTTACCACCTTCCTCAACCTTCTGAGACTTCATCTCAATCTGAACTACCATCTCCAAGACTGTGTATGCCTATGTCTTACCTGATCCTGTAAGCATGGCAGATCCACAGAGATCTCTTTCTGTGCTTTGGGAAAATGGAGTAGGTAGTAATCCTTATTTTGCACACACTCTGAAAAGTAGCTAAAGAGCTGTGTATAACCCATAGAGGAATTACTCCACAGAACTCCCATTTATATGCAGGTAGAGATAAAGATACAGATCTAGGTAAAGGTATAAGCATAGATATTGATATAGATTATACAGATATAGGTGATATAGCTATAGGTCTGGATAGAGATACAGATTTAAATGGATATATAAAAAGATGGAAATAAAGTTAGAAAGGAAGATAGAGATGATAGATAGATAGATAGATAGATAGATAGATAGATAGATATGATAGATAGATAGATATGTAGATGTAGATGTAGATGTAGATGTAGATGTAGATGTAGATAGATATATATGATATAGATATAGGTAAAGAGAGAGAGAAAGAGATACAACCATTGACCTGTTAATTATTTATCTGGTGTCTTCAAGTCCTTCTGCATTTAAATAAAATATTACTTAGTGAGCCTAGCAGTGTTGTGGCAGTGCTGGAAGAGGTGCTGAGCACCTCAGGGAACATGAGGTGCTTTGTGTCAGGTCTCACAGACAACATTTCCTTTCCTTTGCAGAGTCATGTTTTTTATTAGTACCCAGCAGCACATTAAATCACAACTCAAATGTAGTTCTTATTCCACCGACAAGAGGACAAGTGAGAACAATGACTTGTAACATTTCAGAGTCTGTCACAGTTACTGCCTAATTAGAGAAATCCACTAGCAAATGTGCATCTGCGTGGATCCTGCGACTGTCATCATTTCACATTCTATTAAGGGCTTGCTGTGATAGACACTTTACAATGAAATTGCATTCAGGCTAATACCAGGCTGGCAAACATGTAATTGGCTAGAAAATAAAATAGGAGAGGGAGGGGGAAAAAAATAAAATAAAAAAAGAAGGGAAAAGGAAAAGAAAACCTTCATTTTTGGAAAACAAGCTGTGTGCAAAATCCACAGTGCACTGCAGAGAAGATCTTCACCCTCTGACAATTGTGTGTTTACAACGAGTCTGAGCATAATTGCTCTGATGGGCTGTCAAGGAAAAGATTAATTTGGCAAAGATTAGTATTGACTTGCTGTTTATTAAGGCTTTTAAACAGCTGTATCTGGCAACATTCCTGTAAGTGCCTGTCATGTCTGAAAATCAGGCTCACACCCGGGTGCTTGCCAGCTGTTGCTAAACAATCTTACCACTTTGAGTATCTTTTTCCAGGCCAAACAGCAAGAGTAAAGTATTGCCAAATGAGCCTCTCTCATCCTGTCACTTTTCAGGGAACCTGAGAGCTCAGATGTCAGTTGACGGCTCGATGGCTGAGCTGATAGCAGCTACCAGCAACTGGTGGGGTGGTTAAGAGAGGTGCTACACCGACCTGTCCCCGAGCCAAAGGGAGGGTGCTGCTCTTGGTCACCTCACTATCACAGAAAACCACAGCTTGCAACTGCTGCAGTGCAAAGGCGTTTTAAACCCCTCAGTGCCCACAATCAAAGTTTGGTAGGAGGCAGAACTCCAGAGCCAGTGGTTCATCTCTCCAGGTGCTTGGTGGGCTCTGATGGATAAAGCCAAAGAGCTAGGAGGCTGTGTGAAGGTACAGCAGACACCGTTAATCTTTATAAAACGAGCCAACATTTTCTTCTGTGATGTTTTTTCCTCTGGACTGCTGATAAACAAAAGTCATAAAAGCCAAGCACACAAAATACCCTGGGTCAATGGAAACCTGTAAAAGGAAAGATGTCAGCTGTTATTTTTGTTACATTACTTAAAGCATTTCAGTTTACATTGTAGGCTTTAGTAGTGAGCTCAGAAACAAATAATACCAATGGAAAGAAGGATAAAAGGCTGCAGCTAAACGCCAATACAAATAGCCATGTGTTACAATTAAAGTTGATTTGGCCTTTCCAGTAGAAGTCTGATT